CAGCGCCCGCCCAGTGCCCCCTCCGCCCCGACCACTTTATTTCCGCTTTACCCCGCCCGCCCCCTCCAGCGGCACCGCCCATGCGCCGTCTCAGCGCCCTCCCGCGGCTCCAGCGCCCGCCCAGTGCCCCCTCCGCCCCGACCACTTTATTTCGGCACCGCACCCCCCCCCCGCTCCGCCCCCTCCCCCGCGCCGTCTCAGCGCCCCCCCGCGGCTCCAGCGCCCGCCCAGTGCCCCCTCCGCCTCGACCACTTTATTTCGGCACCGCACCCCCCCCCCCGCTCCGCCCCCTCCCCCGCGCCGTCTCAGCGCCCCCCCGCGGCTCCAGCGCCCGCCCAGTGCCCCCTCCGCCCCGACCACTTTATTTCGGCACCGCACCCCCTCCCCGCTCGCCCCCTCCCCCGCGCCGTCTCAGCGCCCCCGCGCGGCTCCAGCGCCCGCCCATCCCGACCACTTTATTTCGGCACCGCACCCCCCCCCCCGCTCCGCCCCCTCCCCCGCGCCGTCTCAGCGCCCTCCCGCGGCTCCAGCGCCCGCCCAGTGCCCCCTCCGCCCCGACCACTTTATTTCGGCACCGCACCCCCCCCCCGCTCCGCCCCCTCCCCCGCGCCGTCTCAGCGCCCCCCGCGGCTCCAGCGCCCGCCCAGTGCCCCCTCCGCCACGACCACTTTATTTCGGCACCGCACCCCCCTCCCCGCTCCGCCCCCTCCCCCGCGCCGTCTCAGCGCCCCCCCGCGGCTCCAGCGCCCGCCCAGTGCCCCCTCCGCCCCGACCACTTTATTTCGGCACCGCACCCCTCCCCCTCCGCCCCCTCCCCCGCGCCGTCTCAGCGCCCCCCCGCGGCTCTAGCGCCCGCCCAGTGCCCCCTCCGCCCCGACCACTACCCCCCTCCCCGCTCCGCCGCACCCCCCCCCCGCTCCGCCCCCTCCCCCGCGCCGTCTCAGCGCCCCCCCCCGCGGCTCCAGCGCCCGCCCAGTGCCCCCTCCGCCCCGACCACTTTATTTCGGCACCGCGCCCCCCCTCCCCGCTCCGCCCCCTCCCCCGCGCCGTCTCAGCGCCCCCCCGCGGCTCCAGCGCCCGCCCAGATAGACACACCGCCGCCCCGCCCTTTTATTTCGGCAACCGCACCCCCCCTCCCGCTCCGCCCCCTCCCCCCGCCGGGTCCCTCAGCGCTCCCCCCCGGCTCTTCGCCCGCCCATTGCCCCCTCCGCCCCGACAACCAGATGTCGCAACCCCCCGTCCCCCCCCTCCGCCCCCTCGCCCGCGCCGTTTCAACGCCCCCCCCCGGGCTCCAGCGCCCGCCAGTGCCCCCTCCGCCCCGACCACTTTGTTCCGGCACCGCACCCCCCCTCCCCGCTCCGCCCCCTCCCCCGCGCCGTCTCAGCGCCCCCCCGCGGCTCCAGCGCCCGCCCAGTGCCCCCTCCGCCCCGACCATTTCATTTCGGCACAGCGCACCCCCCTCCCCGCTCCGCCCCCTCCCCCGCGCAGTCTCAGCGCCCCCCCGCGGCTCCAGCGCCCGCGCAGTGCCCCCTCCGCCCCGACCACATTATTTCGGCACCGCAACCCCTCCCCCCGCTCCGCCCCTCCCCCGCGCCGTCTCAGCGCCACCCCCGCTGCTCCAGCGCCCGCCCCGTGCCCCCTCCGCCCCGACCATATTTATTTCGGCGTCAGCCCCCCCCCCCCCTCTCCGCTCCTCCCCCGCGCAAGTCTCAGCGCCCCCGCCGCTTCAGCGCCCGCCCTATTGACCCTCCGCCCCGACCACTTTAATTTTCGCGTCGCACCCCCCCCCGCTTCCGCCGCGTCCCCCCCGCGCCGTCTATCGCCCCCCGCGGCTCCAAGCGCCCGCCCCCGTGCCCCCTCCGCAGCCGACCCTTTTTTGTCGGGGCAACCGCCCCCTCCCCCCGCTTCGTCGCCCCCTCCCCCGCGCCGTCTCAGCGCCCCCCCCGCGGCTCCAGCGCCCGCCCAGTGCCCCCTCCGCCCCGACCATTTTATTCTCTTGCACAGCTGCGCTCTAGAGCTCGGACATCTTTATTCTCTTGCACAGCTGTGCTCTAGAGCTCGGACATCTTTATTTTCGTGTGCTGGTCGTCCCCTGGCTCTGGCCCTCACCCCCACGGAACACTTTCGTGTCCTGCTCGCCCCCCTGGCCCTGGCCCTCACCCCCCCCCCTGCCCCCCGCCCAGGCATCCCATGGCAGCCCGTCCAGGCTTCCCAGAGCAGCACCCCTGGGCCACGGAACCCTTTATTTTCGTGTCGTTCGTCGTTCGTGTCGTTCGCCCCCCTGGCCCTGGTCGCCCCCTGGCCCTGGCCCTCACTCCCCCCCCCTGCCCCCCGTCCGTCCCAGGCAGTCCCAGGCCCTCACCCCCCCCTGCCTCCCATCCAGTCCAGCCTTCCCAGAGCAGCCCGTCCAGGCTTCCCAGGGCAGCCCCCCTGGGCGGAAACTGGCCCTCAAGCCTTCCCAGAGCAGCCCGTCCAGGCTTCCCAGGGCAGCCCCCCTCGTGTTTCGTCGTTCGTCGTTCGTGTCGTTCGTCCCCCAGGGCAGCCCGTCCAGGCTTCCCAGGGCAGCCCCCCTGGGCCACGGAACCCTTTATTTTCGTGTCGTTCGTCGTTCGTGTCGTTCGTCCCCCTGGCCCTGGTCGCCCCCTGGCCCTGGCCCTCACCCCCCCCTGCCCCGCGTCCAGGCATCCCAGGGCAGCCCGTCCAGGCTTCCCAGGGCAGCCCCCCTAGGCCACGGAACCTTTATTCTCTTGCACAGCTGTGCTCTAGAGCTCGGACATCTTTATTTTCGTCGTTCGTCGTGTCGTTCGTCCCCCTCGCCCCCCCCTGTCCACGCTTCCCAGGGTAGCCCCCTGGGCCACGGCACCCTTTATTTTCGTCGTTCGTCGTGTCGTTCGTCCCCCTCGCCCCCCCCGCCCCCCTCGCCCCCCCCCCTGTCCACGCTTCCCAGGGTACCCCTCGCCCCCCCCCCTGTCCACGCTTCCCAGGGTCCCCCCTGGGCCACGGAACCCTTTATTTTCGTCGTTCGTCGTGTCGTTCGTCCTCCTCGCCCCCCCCCCTGTCCACGCTTCCCAGGGTAGCCCCCCTGGGCCACGGAACCCTTTATTTTCGTCGTTCGTCGTGTCGTTCGTCCCCCTCGCCCCCCCCCCTGTCCACGCTTCCCAGGGTAGCCCCCCTGGGCCACGGAACCCTTTATTTTCGTCGTTCGTCGTGTCGTTCGTCCCCCCCCCCCCCCTGTCCACGCTTCCCAGGGTAGCCCCCCTGGGCCACTTTTATTTTCGTGTCGTGTCGCGTCGTGTCGTTCGTCCCCCCTGCCCCCCCCCGCCCAGGCTTCCCAGGGCAGCCCCCCTGAGCCTCGGACACCTTTGTGCAAGAGCCAGGGCGCGCGTGCCAGTTGTTCGCGGCCGCGCTCAGGCGGGAGGCAGCACGAAGTTCAGCTTTGCCGCGAGCTGCTCCGCCTCAGCCCTAGGGCCCACCGCTCTCTTATCGACTTCCTTGAGCGAGCTGTGATTAGGGAGGGGGCTCCCGCTTGAGACTTCCTTGCAACTAACTCATAGACGCGTGAGGAGCGCCTGGTGATGATGATGTGCCCCTTTGGGGTGCTCAAGTGCTATGCTTGGTAGAGTTTGCCGATGGCCCGCTCGGACCACCAACATGAAGCGCGGGCCGCATAATCAGGGGAGGGAGTCCCGCCTGAGACTTCCTCGCTATCCATTCACAGACGAAGCCCCCGCGTGATAGTTCCTCCATGCTCAGTCCAGAGGAGCCGAAAAGTGACGACAATTACAAGTATCCGATGGCCCGCTCGGATTACCAACATGAAGTGCAAACCCCACAGGGAGGGGCTCTCGCATGAGACTTCCTCGCGTTCGCTCACAGACGACCTCACCCAGGGTGCGTTCTGACCAGGATCTCGAGGCGAATCCAGCGGTGGCGACGAGGGCCTCTCTGGAGGCCCGAAACAGCGAAAACGAAGGGCCAAGGTAGCGTTGTTGGTATCATTCTTCCTGCTCTGAGGGACGCCGACGCCCAGAAATTGACCGCGATGGGAACAAGCACCCAAACGCCCCAGGAACCGCGAGCCGGTTGAACACCAATTGCAACAGCATTGGCCAAGCCCTAGACGTGGATCGCGACGGTGCCAAATCCAGGGGCCAGTCCCTCCGGAGTGGCCCGAGACCGCGTGGTGCCAGACCGCGCGGTGCCCTCGGAACCTCAGGAGACCTGACCGCACGGCCCGTCACCGCACGGTCCTGGGGCCCTGGAGGCGCCCGCGGTCGCCCGAGACATCCTCGTAGAAGGACCCGAGCCCCAAACGCGCCGTGACCCTGAATCGGCGACCCTGAGATTCTGTCGGTGCATGTTTTGCACCGAAGGCGTTCTCGTCTGGCTTCGGGCCCCGGGACCCTCAAAAGTCGATCTGCCTCGACAAGTGGCCCAGAAACATGGGGTCTAGGGCTATGGTCGTGACTTTGGGCGACGTTCTAAATTTTGTTTCGCGACGTCGGATCTCAGGCTACACGTAAGAATGACCCTGGGCAAGAATGACCTTTGGTGCGCCACTTTGGCGGGCTGCGGGTAGGCCGAACTGGAGCGTGCAAGTAGCTGTCATCGCATCGCATTCAACCATCTGGGAACCAAACTGTGCCAGCACCAAAAGTCACTCCGGCGAAAAATTACTCTGACGTCTCGCTGGTCGACACCTCACTGGCTCACCACTCGAAACCTCCTCCGCATGTTCGGCTTGCGGGCCATAAATCCGGTGGCCAACTGGGACGATGAGGGCACCTCCGGCAAGCTCTTGGCGAGGCGCAGCTGCTGGAAAGCAGCCCAAGGCTGGAGAGCCGCCAAGAACCGACGAAGACGTCAGAACACTTGAGCCTCCGTTTGGGGGGCCACTCATGCTGGATGAACGAGCCCGCGCGGTGTGGTCGCTACACCGTCTGGGCCTCTCCGAGATGAAGGGTGCAAGGTGCCGAAGTTCCAGAGGGGGCGGGGCACGCCTCCACCTCGCCGGGCGCGGTGGCCACCTGGGCGGCGGGCAGGCGGGGCACACAGCGCAAAACGTGTTTTCGGGCTGGTGCGTTTTCCGTCGGGATCGTGCCTTTTCCATTGGGGTGGTGCGTTTTCCATCAAATTGTGTTTACCACCAGGGGCGGGGAGTTACTAACGCCTGAGCAAATACTTTTTGACTCGACTTTCTTGCGACGCAGAACAGAAGGGGTGACACAGCCAGATCGCGAATCAAAATGTCACCAAACAAACTGGGAACAACGCACGCACACACCGACCCGCACTACGCAAACTCATGCTATGAACCGTGGCCTAAACAACACATCGAGGATGCACTTGCGACAGGAGGTAGGAGGACGAAGCGGAGCGGAGCGGAGACCTCGGCAGCAATTGGAGTGACGACGGCAGCGAGCGCGTGCGTACTCGATCAGGGGATAATGTCGACCCCTATCCTCGGCTCTGAAAAGTTTGAGAGAGCGTGATCCACCGCCGCTTTACTGTGGAAAATTCCCCCCCTCTGCGGCGATTTCAGGGGTGTCAGGTGCAATGTAGTCCAACCCTGGCTGACACATTAGGGTCCTGCATGGTAGTATGATGTTGTAGCGAGCTGCAGGGTCATCTGGTAGAGGAATGCCCCGCCAGATTTTGATTCCCGTTGCTCTGTGTCAGCACTGGTGATCTGTCGGTGATGCTTTGGCTCAAGTCAAAAGGATGTTTCAATCCGTTCGGCTGACGCCCACTCCGCGCATGGTAGCCTGGAGCCGTGGTTGACACGATCGACGAACTGTGGTCGACACGATAGAGAGCGTGGCAGTGAACACGATAGAGGTCGTGGTCGACACGATAGAGAGTGGAGTGAACACGATAGAGGTCGTGGACACGATAGGGAGCGGTGTGAACACGATAGAGATCGTGGGCACGATAGAGAGTGATGGAGGCGCTGACGCAGAGGCTGGCCCAGCTCGAAGAGCAACAGCGGCAGCAGCGTACGGTGATCGAGACTCAGCAGAGGCAGCTCACGGCGGCGCAGAATGAGCTGGCGGCGGTGCGGGCAGCAGGCGACGGCGCGGCAGCCCAGCAGCCAGCAGGAGAAGCACGAGCAGGCGCGCCGATCTCTTTGGTGGACCTGCGAGTTGGCAACAAGCCCGAGATCTTCACAGGCGAGGCCAAGGAGTGGAAGAACTGGTCGTTCAAGATGCGTCAGTACCTGTCGGCGATAGACGAGACGCTGCACGCGGAGGTGCTCGACGTGGACGCGAACCCGACGAGAGAGCTCACGATGAACGACATGGCCGCCGAAGCCCAGAGGAGAGCCAGGCAGCTGGCGTTCATCCTCACCATGCACACGAAGGACGTAGCGTTGCAGATGGTCACGAAGCTACCAGATCCCAGCAACGGCTACGAGATCTGGCGGAGGTTCTTGGAGGAGTTCGAGCCGGCCCACAAGGGCCGCTTCAGGGCGATGCTGATGCAGATCCTCCAGTACCAGTTCACAGGTGACCGTGGACTAGCCATCGAGGAGTTCGAGAGGCTCGTCAGGCAGTACGAGGCGCAGTCTGGCGACATCCTCCAGGAGACCATCAAGGCGGCGGTGATCTCGAACAACCCTGAGGACCCTGAATGGAGGAGACACGTCGGCCTCAACGCGACGAGATTGCAGGACTACGCGTCGCTGAAGGACGAGTGGAAGGCGGTTCACCAAGCGGAGAGGCGTTGGGGTGTCGATGGCGACTCGGCTCCCATGGAGGTGGACGCGCTTACCTCGAAGGGCAAGGGCAAGGATGGCGGTAAAGGCAAGGGTAAGGATGGCGGCAGAGGCAAAGGCAAAGGAGATGGCAAGGGTAAGGACGGCGGCAGAGGCAAAGGTAAGGGAGATGGCAAAGACAAGAACAAAGGCGAGGCCAGCAAGAAGGAGAGGAAGTGTTTCTTCTGCAGAGAGAAGGGCCACGAGCGCAAGGATTGCCCGAAGTTCACCGCGTGGCTCGAGGAGAAGAAGAAGGCGGGACACGCTGGAGGCTCGGGGACGGCCGCGGCGCTCAACACGGTGCAGCAGGACGACGGCTGGGTGTTCATGGTTGACGAGGAGTTCGAGGGCGACGAGCTGTGCGAACTCATCATGGTCGACTCAGGCGCCTCGGCAAACGTATGTCCTCGAGACCACGTGCCCGAGAACGGCCTGCGAGAGGAAGCACGTCCGAGGCGCATGACAACGGCGACTGGCGAGCTGATTGCGCAGCATGGGCGACGTCGGGTTTCATATGAGACGGAGTTCGGTAAGATCACGACGGACTACAGGGTGCTAGACGTGAAGAGGCCGATCTGGTCGCTGGGCGCGATGATCGAGTCGGGGTGCGACGCCTACTTCACGAAGAGCAAGTCGTGGATCGTCAAAGATGGCAAGGAGTTGGAGCTGATCAGGAAGGGCAACTTGTTCTACGCGATCGCTCGGCCTTCGAAGATCGGAGGCTCGAACGCGCTGGAGCTCAACCCTTTGACGCAGGCGGAGATCGAGCAGAGAGCGCTGGCCAGAGAGCACGCGGCGTTCGGGGCGGCTGGACCAGCAGCCGAGGCCACGCTTGCAGAAGATGGGGATCCAGCAGTTCGCATCAAAGTGCCGACAGGACCTGCCACGCCGACGGCAGAGGAACGGGCTCAACACGAGTCCGCGGGGCACGTACCCTACAGGAGCTGGTGCAGTCACTGCGTGGCGGCGAGGGCGGCGGACAAACCTCACCGACGAAGCGAGGACCCGACGGGCCTGAGCGCAGAGGAGGCAGCGATCCCACGCATCGAGTTTGACTTCGCGGAGATCGGACGAGAATCAGATGCAAGCCCTGGCATTCCGTCCCTCAACGGAGTAGACGTCGGGTCGGAGAGCTTGTCGGCGACTCTGTGCCCCAGCAAGGCCTTCAGCGAGTACCTGGTGGAGACGATCCTGGCGTTCGTGGACGCGCTGGGCCACAACGCGGTGCTGCTTCACTCGGACCAGGAGCCAGTGCTAGTGCAGTTGCTGAAGGCGGTGCAGAGCAAGAGGGTGAAGCGGACTCTGGTCAGGCATGGGCCGAGAGGCAGCCACCAGAGCCAGGGCAAGATAGAGGGCGCCAACAGGGTCATCAACGGCGTCCTGAGAGCGATCTGGATCAACATGGAGGAGCACATGGGCGAGAAGGTGTCGACCGACAGCATCCTGATCGCCTGGGGGGTCAGGCACGCGGCATGGAGCTTGACGAGGTTCCAGGTGAAGAGCGACGGCCGAACCCCCTACGTGCGGATCTTCGGCAAGGCCTACGGCGGGGAGGTGCTTCCCTTCGGCGAGCGCGTGATGTACAAGTACACGGCGGTGCCCAGCGGCAACCTGGACCAGAAGTGGGCGCACGGGGTGTGGGTCGGCAAGGCACCGCTGACGGACGAACACCTCGTCCTGACCGTGGACGGCGTGAAGAAAGCGAGATCGGTACATCGACTGCCAGTTGACGAGCGGTACGTAAAGGAGGAGCTGGCGAAGGTGAAGGGTCTGCCGTGGAACGGCACGGCATCGGATCTGAAGGCGCCGATCGTGTCGCAGCAGGACCAGGGGCCATCAGGGCACAGGAGGCTCTACCTGACGAGGGCGATCGTGCAGAAGTACGGGCCTACGCCTGGGTGCTCGGGCTGCGCGGGGCTGGGGCCACATACCGAGGTGTGTCGAGCGAGGCTGGAGAAGATGGTGGCAGACGCGGCGGCAGGGCCGAGAGGCATCGCAGTCGGCACGCCGCTGGCGGCGAGACCAGACCCAGGGCCGCCCGCAGGCGCTGCAGAACCATCGTCGGCAGCGAGCGGCGACGCTCCCAGGACACCAGCTGGGGGCGACGGCAGCGGAGGAGTCGCGGCCGAGAACATGGAGGTTGACAGAGCGGACGCTTCGACACAGAGAGGTAGGCCCGCGGCGGTGGCCTTTCCGCAGGAGGCCCCCGAGCGCCCGACGGCGAAGGTGAGGTCTCAACCCCCTGTGGCGATCCCAGCCGTGGGAGGCGCAGGCACGGTCGTCGTCAGCGAGAGCGAGGCGAGGTCCAGCACAGACGACGTGATGATCGGGGGCCTGCACGTGATCGATGGCGTGGACGTGGTGGCGATGCTCATCCCAGAGGAGGACGAGTGGAGGCTCGCGGCGATGGACGACGGCAACTTCGAGACCACCACCGACGACAGCCAGAGCGACATGATCGGCGAGGTGAACTACGAGGACCCCGCGTCGGCGGAAGGGATCGTGGCGTACGACTCGAGGACTGGCGAGCAGCTGGACAGCGAAGAGGTGCGCAAGGGGAGGTCCAAGGAGCTGCGCGACCTGGCGGAGTTCGAGGTGAAGATCGAGGTGGACGAGTCCGAGATGATCAGCAAGCCAGGGAAGAAGATCTGGTCGAAGTGGGTGGAGACGCGGAAGGACCCGAACAGCGCCGAGGTCAGGAGCAGGCTGGTCGCAACCGAGATCAACACAGGCGAGGTTAGGACGGACTGCTTCGCTGCGACGCCGCCGTTGAAGTTCGTGAGACTGATACTGGCGTGGGCGGCGAGTTACAGTCCCAGAAGGAACAGCGCGGGGGTCAAGATGATCCTGTTGCTGTTTGACATCTCTGTGGCGTTCTTCCACGGCCTGGTGCGGAAGGTCCTGTACGTGGTACCGCCGAAGGACCTGCGCAAGAAGGGCAAGGTGTGGAGGCTGCTTCGGAGCCTATATGGAACGAGGGACGCGAGCCAGGTGTTCCAGACGTACGTGGCGGACAACCTGAGCGAGCACGGCTTCGACAGGAACGCGGTGGTCCCGTGCTTGTACTGGAGTAGCGAGCTGGAGGCGCTGGGGGTTCACTGGGGCGATGACTTCATCTACGCCCTGCCGAACGACAGCGCCGACGACCTCGAGCAGCTGATGAGGGAAGTGTTCAAGGTGAAGATCTGCGAGCGCGTGGGGCCCAACTGCAAGTCCAGTGCGGCGTTTCTGCACAGGACGCTTTCATGGAGTTCGAAGGGTTTCACCTGGGCG